TATAGACATCTCTCACTTAGATTATCAGTAGAAGTCTATCAATTGTTTTCTGTTGATTGGGTTTCTGGTTCCTTCTAAACTTTTCTCATTTTCTTTCACCTCCAGTAACCCATTGTGTCTTAGTGGCATTATCACCTTCCTTGGGGTGAAATGATTACAAACAAATTTGCTAACAATTGCTTAATTCAGGTCTATACTTCTAAAATCTACACCTGAAATCTGAAATTTTATTTACTAATTATTTATTTATCTCCTCAATAGGATTGGATAGGTTCACCTATCATTCAGTTTACACATTAGCTTGTTCTTTTAAACAGGGGTAAAAGTTTTTCTCTCGTTCCCTGTTTAGGATTAGGTTTCTGGTTCCTTCTAAAGTCTTTTCATTTTCTTTTACTGCCAATCGCCCCTTGTGTCTTAGTAGCATTATCTTCTTGCTTGGAGTGAATTGATAAAAAAACAAAAACAAAAAAAAACTAAGATTTTTACATTTACATAGCGAAGTAAGCATTCTAAATGATATGGTTAATCAAAATAAATGCTACATAATTTGTTGTATTTTAAAATTGCTAAATGGATCTGTTTAACGGTCAAGGTTTCTTGCAAGGCAAATCAAGGTAAACTGATCATATACAATAAATAGATGGGCATTGCACAATTGTGCAGTTATTTCTATCTATTCGTTATGATTTTAAGTTGTCTCCATGAACAGAGTTTTACAAGATGAAAATATATAGACTTTTTAACCCATTATTTACTTATCTTCTTCTGTCCATTGAAGTTGTTCCTCGTTAGAGTTAGCTTTTCAGCCAAATTAATCTTTTATCCAAATAATCCGGAATCATCCAAATTAACACGGATGCACAGGATAGAAAATGAATGGTAGAAATGAGCATTAAGTAGATGTTCCATCCAGAAGAGACTGACATCATGGAAAGACATTAGCAAATTTGCACTGAGCTTATGTGAACAAAGTGAGAAAGAGTAGTAAAAGAAAAAAAAATCCATGAAAGGAAGGATAAGTACAAGAAATTAAAGATATAAAAAAAACACAGACACACAAAAGAAAGAAGCCAATTTCTTTTTTCCGTGTTTAGATAATGAATGGTGAAGCTCATTACTAACTTTTAATACTGTTCCTTTTCGGTAAACGACTGTCAGTCATGGAATTTGTCATAAGTTGCATGGACTCTGTCATTATTCATCATGGCAACATCTTCCACAGTCTGGTCTCTGGTAGATAAACTTAAGTGGGTCTCTTGTTCTGATGATTATTTTGTGTTGTTAGTTTGTGATGGTGACCAGTTAATAGGTGGGGTGTGGTAGGATGGTGATGGACAGTTACAGAAATGTACGGTGAACTTGTTTGTTAATGATGATGATGGTGGTAGTAGTAGTGGTGGTAATAATTGGGGGTGTTTTTGTCAATGCTGTTGTCACCTAATCACAAGAAATTATATTTGTGACCCAGAGTTGGTACCTTCAGGATGATAGCGGTAATAGTGGCACTGTTATATTTGTTGGAAGAGGTGGGAGTAAAAGTTAATGCTGCCGGGATGGGGATGTCTCAGACGTTGGTAGGGTAGGGGATGGCTGTTGTCATGGTCATAGTAGTGAACGTATATACCGATTTTGGTGGATGGTCATGTTGGAGACAATGGACAATGAAGATATGAATGTAAAGCTGGTAGTGGTGTTTTTTCTCCGTTATGTCAGGCAAACAAAAGAAAGGGATCACATGATTAACGAAAAAAAAATATAAAGACAGCCTAATAAGCAGGATAAATTAAAGTAAGGCTCTAGACTCATATCCAATAGTGTTGACCGATTATAAGCGTAAGGTTTTGATGAGAGATTATACGCCTATCTGGCCAAGAGCAATAAGCTGCTAATGGAGCATAAATGATACTAGTTTTAACGGCAGAGCTTTGCATTGTTGTCATTAACACTAAACTGTAGCATTTCTTTCTCCTGCACTTTTCTCCCATTCTCTCATTCCCCAACCCTCAGCTATCAGTACCTTCGTCACCGAGCATTACATATTGAGTTAGTGAGACAATAAGCTATCACTGTTACCAAGATATCAACAATTACTGTAGACATCAAACCTGAAAAAAAAATTAATGATTTGTTCTGAGTGATAAGGATACTAATATTAGACGTGTCTGATGAATCTAAAAGAAAACATCGAAAGAAAAAACTGCAAAAAGAAAAGAAACTTTTGTCCACATATACAAGTTAGACTTGACAATATGTCTCGGTAATACAACCTGAATAAAAAGCAAAAAATAAGTTATAAGTAAAAGAAAGAAAAAAAACAAAGATAAATGTTTTCATCAAAGAGAAATAAGAGTGAAATGAAGGATCAAGATGTACTGAATGACAACTCAGAATGAATTTTGGACAATTGGGTAGGAGGGTGGGTAATCGTTTATTTATTTATTTTTTTTTTTTGTCTTCTCAAACAATCTGGAAGTTTCTTTGCAAATGATCTAAATATTTCCGTCGCAAAGAACTTGCAAATAATTAGTTGAATCATTTCTACTTCCTTTCATAATAGTGGACATTTTTGCAGCTGTCACTGACTGTGACCATTTTCTTTACCCTTTCATTCCCATTTCATCAATTAATATTCAGAACCTTTGGAATTTGACATCCAGCCAGTGATTGGATCCAAAGTGGTCTCATTAGTTCTTGTAAATTGTTTATAAAAATTAAATCAGTTCGCAGAACTGATTCTTAAATTCCTTTCAATGCAGCAGTAACAAGACTCCTATAAAATTCATATAATAAAAAAGAAACATATATTATATAAAAATAATTAAAGGGTTAAATACTTTCATGGTAAATGTTCTGATGAACTTTCCTCTATGTTACCTAGACTTTATGAATTTAAATTCAGTACTAGATTGTCTGTAAGGTCTCATTATTTTACAGTTGAAATGGCTAGATCTAATAAGTTCTATGCTAACAGTTTCTTCTAACACACATTTTGCTTGAGGAACTGACTTCTGGCTTCTTGCTTTCTAGTCAACTTTGATCTTCAAAAATTTAAATGTAATGTCAATCGTTATCTACTGTCTTCTTAATTCTTGGTCTTTTCTTGTTTTCACTCCTTAATAGTGTTTTTTTTCTCATATACTCTAACACACTGTAACCCTTTGCATCTTAGTGGCTTTATTGCCTTATTTGGTTTGAAATAATTAGAAAAAATTAAAATAAGTAACAAAATAGACTAGGTTTGTTTATTACACTTTCTTTTCAAAGTGTTTAATATAGCACTTATTAAAAGCAGAAAATTATTAACAATTATATTCTTTAAAGAAAAAACTACTAACATGAAACCAGATGGTTAGTGGTAAAGAAATATCTTGAATAAAATTTTATGTGTAAAACTTTGTATGTGTGAGGCACAAATTAATGCTGTAAGAATATTACAAAAATGAAGGCTAACATTTTTTAAAAGATACATGTATAAAATTTAGTTTTTCAAATTTGTAAATAAAGACGATCAAATTTTATGGTTTTTAAACCTGCCTAAATAAAGTTTGCAAAGGGTCAGGGTTTAAGAGATACATTTTATGATATTTTTTTTAACCAATGTTGAAACTAAATTACAAACTAAAAGTATCAAATTTCTGATTCAAATCAGAGCTGATAAGTAGTTATTTAAGAAGGTTGGTTTGACTGACAAGCCAGAAGAGATTTGGTCTTCACAGGTGAAAGTCACTGACAGCTGTTAGGAGCGCAAAAGGCTGAAAAGTTTTGGCATTCATAGGACTACCAGACAACTTCGCCATTGAAAAGAAGTAACAGCAGAAAAATATGGGAAGAAGGAGAAAAAAAGGAAAAAGAATGCAAAAAGTAGATACTTCTACAAATTTATAGAGATATTTAAATTTGTAGAAATCTCTCCTTTTCACTTTCTTCTCCTTTTTCTTTCTGATTCTTCCTGTTCTTTTCATGACTTTCCTGTATTTTACTTATATGAAAATAATTGTGGTAAAGGTAATTCTGTGCAATTTGAGAAGACTAAAATTGAAAATTTTCCCCTCATCAGCTGGCATGATGCTGCCAGGAGTGAGGGAATTCCTCTGTGAAGAAATTCAGAAAATTGGCAAATCTGTACTAGTGACCAATAACTGACTAGAAACCCACTACTTGTGAGGAAGTTAACAAAATTAAAAGATTAAAGAAACTGTTGCTGAAAAAAAATAAAATCCCACCACTTTATACATCCAGTGGTTCCTTAAAGAATTTACCAGAGGTATCCTGCAATTTCAGTGCCCATTCATGTTTCATTGTAGTGAATAACCATAAAAGAAAAATAATGATGTAAACTTTGTTAGGTTATTAAAAAAATAACAGAGAAAATAAATAATATTTTTATTTTAAAACAGGTAATATATTCACAGTGTGGTATAATGGAATAATGTGCGGTGTGGTATAATGGATAATGGCTCAGAATAAGAATTTGGAAAGCCAAGTTCATATTCCAGTTGGTTTTGTTACATTGGGAAAGTTATAAATTTATATCTTCTCCTCCCAGCTATAGGTTAAATAGTAGGACAAATTGGGATCTCTGGCCTTGGTTAGTAACTGGTCAACCACAGAAAGAAATGGAAGCCCTTCATTGGAAATCTGCCTAGTCAGTCATGAATCAAAAGAGACATGATCACCTAAGCATGTATCGTGTATGGCACTTGATTATTACTGATGTCTTAATGAACCAAATAATATTCAAACATATTGAGTATCTCTTAATAAAAGTCACATTTAATGAAATAGGTAATATTTTAATAAACTAAATGTTATTTACATTATTTACATTGTTTGAACTGTTGTCCTCATCCTTATTGTCATATTTACTTGTATTGTGAATATGGCAATAAAGATGAAGACAACAGTCCAAACAATGTAAATAATTACAATCCCTCATTTCAAAAATATAGACAGAAATTAAATGTTGACTTTAAAAAAAGTTAGGCTGATGGCTGTATCACATTAAAACCCTAATTCTCATATGATCACCAAAGTTAAGCAATGTCAAGCTTGGTTAGTACTTAGATGGGTGTCCACTTGAGAATATCAGGTGTTGTAAGCCTGGATGTCCAGTGGTGTAATGGATAACAACTCAGAACTATAAATTGGAGAGCCAAGTTCCAATTCCAGTTCGGTTCGTTATATTTACTTACACACAAATACCCTTGAGAAAGGTATGAAGCCAACTCTTCTCCTCCCCAGCTATGGTTTAAATAGTAAGATTTGTATCAATAAATTATTATTATCTCCCCAAAATTCTGACAATCTAAAAATATTTTTCAGCTTTATATAACCAGCAAAAAGTTGATAGTCTATTAAAATATTATTTCATTACTATAAATAAAATAGGACTTATTAAAATTTTATTAATGCTGGATATTAAAATAGTAGTTATGTTATAGTAATGAAATAAGTAAATAAACTAAATGCTGATAATCATTAAAATCATTAAATTATAGTAATTAAATAATAATTTTTTATCACCAAAATTTAGTTTATTAAAAAGTTACTTATTTAATTACAAAGTAATTGAAAACCTTAGGAATAATTGAAACTAACTAAATAATAATATTACTTGAATCAATTAGAAAATTGGGGAGAATACTGGAAAATTAAATTTTTGATTGTTTGTTTTTTTATGGCTTATCAACCCTTTATGGGTTATTTAAAGCCAAGACAAATTTTTGATTGATTGATTTTGAGTTTTATGGCTTATCAACAATTTCCAGTTTATTTAAAGCCAGAAAATATTTTTAGAGTGTAAGAATTTTGGGGAGATAATAATGATTTACTTATACAAGTCTTATTAATTAATGCATAACTGGAGTAAGTGGATTGATACCTTTTCCAAGGGTATTTGCATGTAAGTGTATATAGTGAAACTGGCAGGAATTAGAACTCAGCTCTCCAAGTTCCAATTCCAAGCTGTTATCTATTAGATCACATCATCCACACGTCCAAGTTTACAGCACCAAGTATTCTCATCAGTTACCCATCTAGATACTGATCAGTCTTAACGTTGTTTATGGTGATCATATGAGAATTGGTGTTACAACGTGGAAGAATCAAAGAAACTTTCTGTTATTTGATCACAAGCAAAATTGCCAGATTCTTCTTTTATGTGCCATGTTCTTTCTGGACATGGACGATCGTGCCTCTCTACAATGTCCTATCTGTCATAGTTCTAAGCAACATTTTTCTCTTTGCTATCCGTTCTAATCCATGATTTGCTGTCCATTTGCACAAGCTTCTTAGGTAGGTTACTCTGTCCCTCTTGCTTTCAATATGTCCTGTGAGTGTCAAATTCTCCAAGCCCTCTTTCCTCATTACATGTCCTAGAATATTTCAGCTGTCTCTTTCTGATTCTCTGTTAAGTGTCCTTTTTGTACACATTTTCCTTAAAACTTTCTTGTTCATATGTTCTATCTATAGGTGTTCTCAGCATCTTTCTGTAAAACCATTAAAAGGATTATTTTTCTTTGGGAGAAAAACAAAAAACTGCAGAAAGGTGGGGAAAAAAGGATGAAAAAGGAAAGGGGAAGAGAAGATGTCCAGTATTTTACCCCAAGTATTATGAAAAGCACAAATGAAAAAAGACAAGACTCTTACTCTAGTGTAAAATTCAAAAGGATTTTGCATTTATTAAATGGCATAAAATTTAATAAATTGGAATACAAAATTTTACTTTGTGCATCACACAATTAGACAAGATAACAAATTCTAATTACATTTCTACTGGGCTATATATATATATATATATATATATATATATATATATATATATATATATTTCATTAAATAAATAATTACACCGATCACATTACTACATGCCTATCCAGATGCCTTATATTACATCTCTCTGACCAGAGCTCTATTACAATCAATTTAGGCACATACACAAATTTCCAGATTTCATCTGAAACATACTAGTAGAAAATACAAGCATAATAACCTCATCCACATCTGAAAAAAAAAAAGATTAAAAATAATGGAAGCCTTAATAATAAAAAAGAAATTAAATAAAAAGCTTGTCTGTCGTCTTTAATGAAACATGTATGAATGAAGGATTGCTGCCTAAACACACACAGACTATATATATATATATATATATATATATATATATATATATATATATATATATATATATATATATATATATATATATATATATATATATATATATATATATATATACATAAAAGAGAAAAAAGTTGCAAAAATTTTTTATTATAACGTGGACTTTTAAAATACTTTATTCTATATATTTTGCTACATAAGTTTCAGGTTTTGTGACCTTCATCAGGCAAATAATGGTTATTTCCACATATTATTTAAATGAATGAATTTTTCCTTCCTATGTTAAATCTTTTAACCTGTTGTCATTTGTGTGTAGTAGTAGTCATCTAAATCTATCTTGGACTGGCTGAAAAATGTCCCTTTGCTTAAGGGGGTAATAAAACAATTAAATTTGGCCCGAGAAAAGGAAAAAAAAAGTAGATGTCTTTGTTATTATCTTTTGATGTCTCTGTGTATCTTTTTGTGGTGTATTCCTTTCTCTATTCTTGTGTATTGTATGTGTGTGTGTTTGTCAGTATGTGTGCATATATTTGTTCTCCATACTATATTATATATTCTATTATTATAAGGAAATCTATATATTGAATACATGCATTTTGTATGGTGTGTGTGTGGTCCAATTAGTGTGTTTTACCACTATGTGTATATGGTGTGTGTTCATGTGTGTGAGGTTATGATTTGTTTAGTGCTAGTTTAAATTTGTCTATGAAGTTCTTTTTTTGTATTTGGAGGTAAGAGTAATAATCTATTTGATATGTTGACCTAATTTTAAAGTTACCTTTGCTGCATTTGTTGATGTGTTGTGACACAAAGAATTTTCTGTTGTAGGGAGAGTCTATTGTTTAGTGCATTTGTTTTGTTGCATTTTGTGCACCTCAGTGCATAAATTTCATTTTTGGATCGTTCTGTATAAGTGTTTGTTTTTGTTATAAGGGATGTTCCAGGTGTTTCTAGATTTGTTGTTTCTGTGTGGGGTTATAATCAAAAACGTTTGCGGCTTTTTCTCTCTTTAAAATATACACTATCCTCTTGTTGGAACAACAATAATTTCTCCTTTTATATATATATATATATATATATATATATATATATATATATATATATATATATATAGACAGAGAGAGGGAGAAAGATTTTTTACAGTGAAAAACAAATTGAATTGGAAATTCTTGCAAAAATCAAATAATTGTTGGATTTTAATGAAACAAATCAATGAAATTATTTTTGGAATGTACCTTTTTTTAGAAAATCTTAGAAAAAATTTTTTTTCTTTTTACATCTCTTACTTTTTTGTAGATCTTTTATTTAATTTTATGAAATTTCAACAAATTCTTTTTTATAGGGCTCAATGTTTATATTAGTTATGAGGAGTAATAGTAAGGCTCTTGAGTTTGGGATGGCAGCCAGTCTAAGAAAAGAACATCTCTGAATTTAAAATTATAGAGAAAGCAATAGAAAACCATTTCATTATTTTTCCAAAGAAGTCATAACAAATCATAGATAATAAAAGAAAAGTAATCTATGGAGAAATATGATTGCCTAAGCCCTCAAGGGACAGAACATTAAAAAAATGTTAATGATAATAATAATAATAGACAATAAAAATAAATGATAAAAATTACCAAAGCCAACATTTACTTTACTTATTTAATGGCTATAAATTAAATAATTTTTTGTTTAATGGCGATAAATTAAATAACTTTATAGCTATTAAATAAGTAAACTGAATGTTAGCTTTGGTAATTTTTATTGTCAATATTTAAGTAATTAAAATATTCACCTATTTGCAATCTCCACCATTGCTAGATTGTGCACAAATATGAGATTGTGCTTTCAAAAGTGATCAGTTTTGAATGGCAACATTTATTTTCTTCAGTTGGCACCAGTCAAAGTCTTCTTGAACAATCCTCTGATCACTGCTGTGACATCAGTCTAGGACCACTGATCCACTCTCCTGCTTGCATTGTGACTGTCTGTTTGTAACCCAATCTCTGGTACAAGAATTTTTGGTTCTGACACTTTTCTTAGTCTTATTAAAATATAACTTATTACCAAATTAAATATTATTTATTACTCAGTTAAATTTGACTTAATTTATTTAGATACGGTAAATAAATTCTATTATTATTTATTTTATGAAAAATCTTCTATGTGTCATGTCCTTTCATGACATGAGCAATCATGGCTCTTCACAACTTCACAACTATTTTGAATGAAAATATTACTTATTTTCTGTATGTCTTTTAACTCATAAACTGAAGTTATGATTTTTTTCTGCTACCCTAACAATCGTACTTTATGACTTTTCAAGACTTTTTTCTTACAATCAGTAGTTGGTAAATTTATTCCTTGTGTAAAAATCATTAACACATTTTGTATGTCCTCTTTCCTCTCTCTCTCAGACACACACTAATTTTGTTCTGTCTTGCACTCTGGCCCCAGCTCATGTCTCTTGGTTGACCCACAAACCTAAAAAAAACACCAAAAAATAAAATCTGTTTGTTGATACAGTAACTGAATTTTATCCACTTCATAAACAAGATTTTAAAAGCAAGCCAACAAAAAGACATTTTTAACTCTCTTTCCTCTCCAACCCCCTCTCAGTATTCCTGATGTGCAGTCAGTTTTTTCCCTCCCCTTGCACCCGGTGATAGTGTTTTCTTTATCATAAAACACAGGAAACGGATGATTTGCTCTCAGTAATTAGACACAGGATTGGAGACACACCCTACAGTAGCCAAAGTTTTTCTTTTAGTAAAGAATGTTACAGTTTCGTGTTTGCTAATAATTACTGATACTTTACATACCATTAGGAAAAGAAGAAAAAAAGGGTACATGATAAAAAAAAAAAATTAATAAGGAGGGCAAAGTAAAGGAATGATGGAATAGTAAAAGATCAAGAATAAGGGATGAAAAGAAAAACTGAAAAAATTGGAGAAGGACTTGAACAGTAATTTGCTCAGTAAGAAAAATAATGTTTATAT